AGTTTTAGATTTTAATAAATATAAATGTCAAAAATAAAAATGATTATTTTAAAAATAATAAAAATAAGAATTACAATAATAATCAAACAAATAATTAAACATAATAATATTATATTTATTGGTTTACATATAAAATCTTCACATAAATTCGGATTACCTTAAACAATTATTCAAGTATAAATAAATAAATAATATATATATAATATGAATAAAGGAAAAATTTATTTAAAAAACAAAAAAAATACCTGGCTCAGCTGATGTTGATGAATTAATTTCGGTTAAATTTCTTGTTAAATTAAATAAATAAATAAATAAATTTAATTTAATAATTTATAAAATAAAATAAAATAAAATAAAAAAAACCCTTACATAATAATATTCTGATTACAATAATCTTTGTCACAACAACAATGTAAAAATAATTTATCTTTATTAGTATATTTCATAATACATTTTGTTTGATTTTTACATGTTTTACTTGTTTCTTGATCATACATACAATCCATTTTACCAACCTTAATATCATCTTCAGTATTTACAATTGTTGTACAATAAACTCCACCACGAATATTCGATGACAATTCTGATGAATGACATTCTTTTATATCATATTTACATGTTGAATTATAATGACAATTTGATGGCCATGCTGTTTTACATTTAAGACTCCATACAATATTTTCTAAACAAATTATATATATAGATATATACATATACATATATTATTATATATACCAAATAAAATAATCAATATCAATTTAAATAACATATTTATATAATAAAATTATAATTATTCTAAGATTGTCACGGACGAATAAGCAGAAATCGAAGCATTGTTAACCTTGTTGGACCAAATAACCAACTAACTTGTTTCTTTTTTTTTTTTTCTATTTATCCCAAACCATCCTACTTTCAAATCGACCTCCTTTTCCCTGTTTATACAACTTTTTTTATCATTTCATTTTTATTATTTTTAAAATAATCATTTTTATTTTTGACATTTATATTTATTAAAATCTAAAACTATTTTATTTCAATCAACAATAACAGTGACATCTACAACAATGACGTCTTTACTTCGTCTTTTTCTTTTTCTTTTTCTTTTTCTTTTTCTTTTCAATTTTTAATAAATATTTTTTCTATTTATATTATCATAACAACCATATTTATGTATTCTTCAAGAAATATATAGACAAAAAACAATAATAAAAAATTTAAAGATCTAATCAGATATATTAAACTTAAATATCTCTTTATAATTTAAATTTATTTATAATCAGTTAGTTATTTTTTAAGAGTTTATATATATGTCTGTACATCTTTTTTATTACAGTGTCTTTACAGCAGTTAACAAATCAGTAGAAATTATTTATACATCGTTTCATAAACAGAACTGTTTATAACAATAAAATTCTCTAACCTTATTGACACTATAGATAAACGTTAAAAAATCCTTTTTGTGTACTCAAAAAGTGAGTACACTCTAGAATCGGTCAGTATGTCCGGCCGGCCGGCCGTTTACACGATAACTTTCGAAAGGAGAGTCAGATCGCGATGAAATTTTTTGC